AGAATACTAGAATCTAATAGGGCAAAAGAGCTGGGAAAAGGGGGCCAGGAACCAAGAAGGCTGCAACACAGGTGCTTAAAAAGCCAGCAAGATGACTTAATAGCAAACTGCAAACTAAGCTTTTCCTTCTTTGTATTCAGCTTGGGCAGTTCTTTGTTAGAAATTCTCATTCAATTTTAATGGGAAAAATTGTACAAAACCTGGAGCCTAGTAAACAAATGATTCAAGTAGTTCTGCTAGGAGCAAAGTGGCATAATCCTTAACACAAACCAAACATGAGAGAGTTTTGGAACAATATTACCAGCAACCCCAAATTACAGAATCTGAAGCTCAGATGCTGTGTTAAGAAGCATCATTGATGATGTTGAGGGCACATCTGAAGGTGAGGACAGCGCCTGCATTCTGGGCACAGCACACTGTAATAGTGAAATCCAGTTAAAGTCATCAGCAAGGTCAACCTTGAACAGCAAAACTGAAAGCAAATAGAAATGTGCATCTTTATGTTGGGTGGAGGGAAAATACAGTAAAAAGCAACAAGAACAGCCATCAGAGACTAAAAGAAGGTGTTGGTAAGTGTAATAGGGAGCTGTGGGGCCAAATCACAGGTTTTGAAAAGTCAGTAGGAGAAAGATGAAAAAATTCTGTTGATTTCCTGTGGAAGAGAACATACCTGGTACTCAGGTGATCTGAAACATTAAAATGCTTGTGGAAGTCTGGAGGAGTAGCTAGTATCTACTGAGAATGAAAGGAAAAAGTAAGTGTTCAGGAAGATGGTTTAAGTGGGCCTTTTCTTAGGAAAAGAGATGTAAAACATATGTTTGAGAGAGAAACTGTGGACACCTTTTCCCCTTAAAATTATTTTTAATTGTCTTAGATGCAGAACTCCTTTAATCAGGTAATCACAGGTGAGATAACTTTAAAAAGTCCCATTCAGTCCATCTGATAATATATTTTGTAGACTTTCATTCTCCTTCCCTCCAATATACTTTTTATAGCCTTAAGCAAGTCACTTTAATCCTCTATTTCCCCCTTTGTCAGGTTGATATGGTTAAATTCAAATAATGTAGTAACAGCTCAGTCAATATTAGCAACTTATGATTATACTGAAAGGTAAAGAAAAGCTTAAGAATAAAATACAGTTTATTAAAGGAATATTGTTTACATAGATACAGGACATATTTTCTTAAGTATTTCAACACCATGGCAACAGTAAGTTGTGTTTATTTTCTTTATGTATAAAAGATGTGCTGAAGGATGCATGCCTCATCAGTTTTTATGTTATTGGACATGGCTATAGGTAACATCTTTCTATATAAAAACAAACTACACAGCATCATGTATAAACATCTTAAGTTCATTTCTCTAAACTGCCGTTGAGAAATCTAAATCTTTGCTCAATTCTAAACATTCAACAAAATGCTTGAGTTTCTCATGAAACAAAAATAACACCCAATTTCTTCTTTTTTTTAGAACTAACTTTCCATCTGTTAAATGTATTTTGATATGTTATATCCTCTACCTAAACTTAAGCCCTTTGCTAAAGGAACAACCTACCTTAGGTTCAGTCTAAAGTGTACTAGACCCTAGGGTGTTTTTCAAGTATTTTAAAAGATTTGCCACTTACTGTGAAAAAAATAGATAATAGGAACATCATGTGAGTGTAGACAGGCACCATACTATATATTCCTCTCAGAAGAATCATTTCTAGAATGTGTATAATCACAGCATTAAGTAATGATTAGAATAATTTGCCTTTAAAAAGCCTACAAATCAAAAGGGGAAAGATGCTAAGCTAGATCCCGATTTTCTGTAAAGATGATTTTGTGAAAAACTGCTTTATGCCCTAGAAATACATAAGCGTGGCATTAGCTAATGGCACATTATTACATTTTATAGCATTAAAAATAATGGGGAAAACTGGCTTATTCCATTGGATAAAAGAACCTGCTGATACTTGAACATGGTAACATTTTTGCAAAAGCTGTACCCAAAAATCCACTCAATGTTCTGCTTTTCAATTTCTGTTTTTCTCTTTCATCAACAAAGACTAATGTCAAAAACCAGTGACTCCGTAAATGAGTTGCTGTGCTCTGGACCATGGGGTAGTGTTGAGTTGATAAGGTATTAGTTGTCCCTGCTCTTTTTGCCCTCAGCTAAGTTTCTGGTAAAGTTTTTGGCCTGCCAGGTTCTCTGCTTCCACCTTGATTTCCCATCACACTTCATGACCATCTTAGAGCTGTTTGTAATCCAAAGTCTGGGTTTTTTCTCCCAAAGATCAGCCTGAGGAGGCAGCCACCTACAAGACATGTCAGAGGCACTAGGAAGAACCCACATTCATCCTCCCTGAGGTTCCATAACCTGTTCATAGGCTTATAATTTAGATACACCTGCCTTAGGTAACATCTCGTTGAAGGTATCAACTCACTTGAGATCATTCTCAGAAACAGGTTTTGAAGGAGAAAGAAAAAGGAGAGCATGGGGAGCTTAAAGGATGGAGAACAGGACCACAGAACAGGGGGACTGTGCCCACAGCGGTCCAGCGCTGCCAGGGGCTTCTAAAACACGAAGGGTTAATGCTGCCATCCTAAGACCACCTCTTGAGATACTGAATTTTCTGCCTCAGCTAAGTACAAATTTCTATTATCAGGGACAACTTATGTAAATTAGAATTTTAAAAGTCTTTAATCATATGAATTGTATTCTAAATTTCAAAATATTTCATACTTTCTAAGGGCAACCTTTCTATAATACATAGTAAAGACAAGATTTTGGATTTGCAGAATCTTCTAGCCCATTTAAAAACAAAAGAAGTTGTAAATACCCAGAACATAATATATGTATAAATTATAAGTGAAACACGTCCTTGCTCCAAAGCTATTTAAATTACATTTATTATAGATACATCCCATTTATGAGGTAGTCCGATTCCTCAGATGTAATGGGACGAGCTTTTTTAAGTTTCTGTTTCACCAGTCGTAGTCTGCAAGCAACCATGAGAAGCAGCAAAGCAGTGATGGTCAAACCCAATGCCAGGGGTAGCACTGCACCTGTGAAAAGGTTAGAAATGAAGAGGGTAAGACAGTAATTATTAACAAAGACAGCTACTATTTACTATACGATAAGCACTTTGCATGCGCTATTTAATCTGAACAACTCTACTAAATTGGTACTGGTATTACTACCAATTTGCAGACTAAAGTGCAGAGAGGTTATGTAATTTGCCTAGGAGTGCATAGCTTGTGAATTGTAGGTTTAGGTCTCAAACCAGACCTGTTTAAAACCAAATTCTGTTCCAGCTTCCTGCAAAATTTGTATGCCATCAGTGGGTATAAATGTTGCAGTCAGATCACTCTTACATTCAGCTATAATAGACATTCTGACCATAAGACATTTTTTTATTATAGTCATAGATTACATTTATGGATTCATGAATGATCAGTTTCTCTTAAAATAAGTATGAACAAACTCCTGATATCTTGTTCTGGTTAGGGCTTAAGAAATTTCTTTTCTAAATCTAGGGAACCTACTCTCAGCCAGCAGAACCTTTGTTGAAAGCTAATTGCAAAATATGCTGGTATGATTTTGGCCAAGGGTCATTAAGAAAAACATCTCTTTAGTTTTTCCTGTGGGGCTGGTCACAGACACCAGACTAGAACCGTTAAAGGACTGCAGGAGTCTGGAAGGCAGAGGGTATGCCCAGAGCAATCTTTCTTACCAAGTTCAGCATGCTCTATTTTTAATCTGATCTACTCTGTAGTCAGGCCAGGTTTGGAGATGATATGGTGGAACTATGTTTAACTGCAAGAGTCTTGCCAACTGGTGGAACTAGAGGCGAAACATCTCCATTGTGTAAGCTCATTCTATAACATTTTCTTTCATTTATTTATTCATGCTGCATTAAGAGCCTTCCACGTGCCAGATGCTGAGCTAAGTGCTGGTAATCAAATAAGCAATTTTTATTCGTAAACAAATAAATACCCCCTCCAAAAGATAAGCTAATGCTAAAAGTGCCAGCTTTATAGCTTAACACATTGACTGCCATGCTAGAAAAAACAAAATTTCCCTGGGGCCATGGTGTTTTATTAAAATAAAACGATCCTTTCTAATGTGTTATTTTTTATTGTTTTCTGTATGTGAGTTTTATGCAATGCAACCCACGTTTTTAGAATTGTCAATATTAACTGTAACAATAAAAAAAATCAACAATTAAGATTTTCACAAACCAACTGCAGGGTTTTGCTTCATGAGGCCCCGGGCTCAAAACTAGCCTGAGTTAAATACAACTCACGTGGCAGTCAATGTGTTAAATCACTGAATTCTCATAAACACCATATGAGTTGGTACTGTTATCCTCCCCATTTTACAAATGAGGGAACTAAAGCATCAAGACTTAAGTGGCTTGTCTAAGACGGTATTGTAAGTGGTAGAGCTGGTATACGACCCCAGCCAGGACAGCTCCAGAGCCTGGAGTCTTAACCACTATGGTACACTACTTCTTCAAAAGGTACATGAGACAGTTTTTGAATGACTTTAAGTCTGGGTAGATAGGCATTTAAATGGAAAAAAAATGCAACAGTGTTATAGTTATTATACTATGATAAAATTATATATGAAGTACAGATGTAAAGAAGTGGTCCATCTGGTCTGTAGGATTTTTGCTTAAGTGATTTTGATGTATGATAATGCTTGTTTGGGGTAGGTGAAGGAGATAGTTTATTTTTTGACATTTTTCAGATTGAGATGCCTATAGGAGATCCAGGTGGAATTTTCTCTTAGGCCCTGGGATTATTTGGGCCTAAATATGTGAAAGCCTTTAGCAAAAAGGTGGTAGTTGGAGCCACGAAAGTGGTAAGGTTGCCAGAGAGAAAGGAAGAAAGGAAGGGAGAGGAACAAGTTCCTGGGAAACACTGACATATAGAGAGCAGGCAAAAGGAAAGGACCAAAAAAGAACAGAGAAAGACTGGTCAGAGAAATAGTGGGAAAACCAAGAGAGAGTGAGGTCTCGGAAGCTGAGGGAGAGGCCAATCCCAGAAGAAAGTGCTCAGCCGAACCAGCTGCTACAGAGAGGTCACGCGAGGTGAAGCCTAGAGAGCCTGCTGGAGTGCACAACAGGTACTTCGTTTACACGGAGACTGAAGCTTGAGGGATGCTGTTTGGGTTTTGTATATATTAAGAGAGATCTGAATGTGTTTGCAGTCGTTGGGGGAAGGAGCCAGTAGGGAAACAGACTGAAAGCATGGCAGAGCTCATAGACGGCGGAGAAACGCACCTGAGGAAACAAGGGGCTATGTCAAGACCCAGGGCAGAGACTGACCTTGGAGAGGGGGATACCTCTTCCTTTAGCACAGGAGGAAAGGAAGAGAGAGGGTGTGAATGCAAACGGATGAGTTTTTGCGTCTGGGGAGTAGGGAGCCGAGGAAGGTCACTCCCACATAGCCCTGATTTTCTGGCCTCCTCTTGAAGACAAGAGAACCTGGAACTGATGACTCGCTAACGGCATTTCCACCTCTGGTATATTTTTGGAATCCCAGGTAAACCTCCTGAACGAGATTCTCAAGAACAGTTTGGAAGTGTCTGGGCACAGGCGGGGATGTGGAAGTTGCTTTCGTGACTAAGCATCAAACAAAGTTTTGGGAGAGGCCAGTATTCCCTTAGAGAACTGTGAAAGATAAAAACCTGTGATAAACCACAGCCTGGAATTTTATTCGAGAGCTGCCTCGTATATCCCACACACAGCAGCTCTCTGGAGGTGTCAAGAATCACTGCTTCATCTCTCCACACCAACAGTTTGGGCCTTAGAGCCACTGCTGGCTCCTAATGGCCGCCCAGTAAAAGTCTCGGCAGGGCTCATGGCCTGGAGGTGGCAGTTTTCTCTCCATCTTCCTGCACTAGCCTCTTAAGTTGGGTATGTTACAAAGGGACAAGACAAAAAAGGGACTTTGGTCGACCCCCCAGTAACTCCAGGAACCCCAAACTATTTCTTACAAACTGGAACAGAACAAACCAGCCCCAGTTCTGCTTGTTCAGGGCAGGAAAATGAATAAGAGGGTTCCAGACCTCAAAATGTGTCTAACTTGTTTAAAGATGAGCACCAGAGTTTAGGCTAAAGGGGAAGGGAGGCTGTGGTTGAAGACCCCAAGCCCAATCCTGGGGCTCAAGTTTAGCTATGGTAACAGTAAAACAGGTGTGTGATCTAGGAAAATGTTCTATTTGCCAAAGTAGATATGAGGCTGCTGAACTGTCCAATCTGATTCTTGCTTAATGCTTTGATGGCAAGGAAAATAATATCTCCCATGAAGTACTTGCTAGAATATTGAAAATTATTCTTGGCTTTTTCATACTTAGTTGGCATAGTTTCTTCAATTTTTTTAGTTTGGGTAATTTGAGGTTTTTTTTTTTTTTTTTTTGAGACAGGGTCTTGCTCTGTCACTCAGACTGGAGCGCAGTGGTGTGATCCTAGTTCACTGCAGCCTCAAACTCCTGGGTTCAAGCGATCCTCCTGGAATACAGGAGTGCATCATCATGCCCGGCTAACTTCTAAAATTTTTTTGTAGAGACCGGGTCCTGCTATATTGTCCAGGCTGGTCTTGAACTCCTGGCCTCAAGCACTCCTCCTACCTTGGCCTCCCAGAGGGCTGGGATTACACGAGTGAGCCACCATGCCTGGCCTAATTTGAGACTTAAAATTCCCTATCCCCTTCTAAAACATACCATGGTAGTATTCTCAGTAACCAGCTAAGGTGATGAGTTACGTATTCTGTTCAGATGAATGGGAGTGACATTTAAAATATGTTAACAACTAGAATGGGCACCAGCCAATTGGAACTGAGACTCTTTGGATACATGTGGGTGTGGGAGCAAGAGGCAGGCTGGTTGCCCTGATGGGGGACAGGGCCTCGTTTATTCAAATATCGTGGGACAGGCTAAGTCCAGTAGGCTGGCAGATTGTGTGTGTGTGTGGGGGGTACCCAGGTATTTGACATCTGGATTATTCTTAGCTATCTATTGTTTAAAATTTATATTTTAATATTGTCTCTATATTAAAAAGAATATTCCAGGATAAAAAGAAAGTTTTCTTAATGTTTAGATCTGTAATTTAAGAATCATATACTGTTCTCCTAAATCTTCTTTTACTTATTAGTTTGTGGAATTTAAGACTAAAACCTGCCTTTCTACAAAGTTCCTTGTTAAAAACAACCAAAATTACGAAATTATGGTATTCTTGTTCCACTTCATAAATACTCCCTCTACTTCTTACACCCTCCCCCCATTGCTACCATCTTCTGTCTTTGTCACTAGCGCACTTGGAAAGAGAGAAAACTAGGTACTCTGAGACCTTTATCCTTCTGGCACGATAAATAACTCGGTAACAGCCATCGTTTATACATTTGGCTCATCGTGAGCCAGGCAGTGCACTAAATGCCTTTTATGAATTGTCCCATTTATTCTCCCTAGCAACCCTATGCAGCATGTACAGTTACTGTCTTCATCATACTAGCGAGAAACTGAGATCCAGAGAGAGAGGATAACCTGCCCAAGGTCAGAGAGTTCACTGGACGAGCCAGGATTTGAACCGTGGCATCTGACCCTAGAGCCTGCGTTCTTAACTACCATGCCACGGGGATGACGTTCTCCACAGATGCCGCGCCTGGAGGGGTGTATAGAAGAGGAAGCTGAGGTGCAAAGACAGTAGGTTACTATCGACAGCCCCAAGATGCAGTGCAATATAGGGCATGAGAAGACAGTTCTGGTCCACAGTTCACTGCTCCTGTCATGAACTCCCGCGGCTTCATCTAACATACTCAGCCAGAGGACGTCAGTTCTGCGGAAGCCTGCCTCCTGCAGCGGGTTTCCACGGCATACATTTACCTGCTTCTGGGGCTGGGTGTTCCCCACCTCCTCGATCGCCCTTCGACTCAAAGATATAATTTTCTTCTTTTCTGTTCTTCCCTGAGGAACTACTATCTGCAGAAAATAAACAGAGCATTTATTGAAGGAGCATCAGAAACTTTAGGGAACAGACATGAAAATATAGCCCTATTTATTTTTTTTAATGGTGGGCTTACAAGATTTATTTCTCTAATAAACATAGGTTTGTGCTTGATACTAAAATACCGGATAACTAATGTGACCAGTTTAATAAAGCAGAGTACGCAGCTAGTATGAGACCACCAGAGGGAGAAAGGGGGGGAAGTCACGGAACCAGAACTGCCGCCAGCTCTCCCGGAGGAGCAAGGAAGGACCTCAGGCTAGAAAAGCCGGTGCAGTGTCTGGACATCACGTCATAAAAAGCAGAAAGTCAAGAAAGGGTTTTCTGTGAGAAATAAACAGTGAGCGTACACAAAGCATTTAGATACTTTTAGTGCTATTTCACTTTTTCTCACCATGACCCTGCTTGGCAGGTGTGAGCAGCTCAATTTTTTCTGCTAATGCCCAGGGATCAGGTTTCCTTCCAGGTGGGTCACAGGGCTGGGATTCAAACTCAGATGTGTCTAAATGCTCGTTGGTGGAAACCAGCACTTCTGATTTAATGACATATTATTTGTTTAACTCTTCTACTCAGTTCTAATACTGAGGGGAAAATATTAAGAAAGAGCAAATCTTAGGATTTTTATCCCCAGGATCTGATGAGCCATGGCTGTGTCTGTCATTTCCCATCCAGTAATTTACAGCATTTGTGTGTTTATCACAATAGCAGTGCAACACTTAATGCGTTGGCTGGCGGAGTTACCCTCATGCTGGGTGTGATTTCAAGTGGGATTTTTGAATATTATAATGTTTCATGGCAACGAATTAGAAATGATCTACTGACATGGATTTTCTTGAGAAACAAAAAATATTTTAATGCTTCTTTACTAATACGGCATCAACAGAAGCGTTAATAACTTCTGCAGCTGAAAGAAGACTAATTAAAGGTAGTATATAAAATTCTTTGGTAACTTGTACTTAGCAATATTCATGAATTTACTAAGAATCACAAAGTCAACTGGATAATGGAACATTGTAAAGTTAGTCTGCATACCTACTAGAGCCAGAAAGTAATTATTTAAAATGATTATTGCAGTCACGCATTAATGCTGTTAAACAGAAGGGACAAGAATTGCACGTATTTCATCAGGACATCCTTAGCCCTCCTTGTTGCTCACCCTTCATCCCGTCGGTCTCCATATCATGCAGCCCATTTCCTTCATCCCCTCTGCAACATCCCTGATGGGGGCCTCTCTCCTCGCTCCTCACGGCCACTGCCTCGGGCCCTCACCACCTTTGGCTTGAGCTCTACAAGAGCCTCCTCCTGGCCTTTCTGTTTCCAGATATTCCAACTGCAGTGTCTGCAAAGTCGCTCATCCACACTCATTCAGCGTATCAGTACTGTGAGATTAGCTGAGTTTGCTTGTCTTGGCCAAGGCCATAGCAGGCTCACTCCATTCCACTGCGCCACATCTTGTTACTCTAAAAGGACCCATGCCTGCTGGCCTATATACAGCCAATCATTTGGGCTTTCTCCATAAACCTAAGCTCAGATAGAATGAGAAAGATGACTGGAGCATAGGCAATTTCTTGCAGCTGGAGAATCAGATTTACCTTCCAAACTGCTTTCGGCTACTGTCCACCTCACTGTAGTGGCAGAAGCCCCACTCCCCTCCACAGTGAGGGGAGGGAAAGGAAAAGAAGCCAGTGTGACCCTGGTAAAAGAAGGTAGTGACCACCATGGGGAGAAGAGGACAGAAACAGCCAGCTAACAGGTATGGGAGCAAAGTAATTGTTGCCTGGAACTCTGGGACCCATGTCCCAGTGGGACAGGGACAGGGAAGACTGAACATAAACGATGTGGCTGGTACAGCACCTGGGCCATCGAGAACTGGGGCTATTGACTGCAAGGCAAAAAAATTTCTAGTATGGTGATTTCAACATCTTTGGATTTAGTGGCCCAATAAAAATTGAAAATAATTTCTGAGATCAATTTAGAGTTGTCAATTTTTATTTTGCTGTGGCATTAAAGGAAACAACCGTGTACTAAGACCATCATCCTAAACCCCCAAATTATGAAGGATCTAATTACATCAAAAGGACAGGTCTTTAAATTGAACAAATTTAGCCTTATAAAAAATGTACAACACTGTCCTTTCTCTCACTTGCCGTGAGTGGATGAAAGCTTACGGATGGGTGCTGGTCCTGCCGCTGGCTGCAGGGCTGGCTGCTCTGAATTCCGTTATTCCCCTTTCTGCTGCCCTGGCCAAGCTGCCTGAGTCAGGGTTTCAAGGCTCTTGACCTGGCCTCTATTCCCAGGAAGCACCCTTCACTTTGGGCAGCCAGAGTGCCCTGCCTAAGTATTTTCACTCCCGATTCCATTTGCCCATGCAATTAATTAAAACCCTTCTTTCCCACTCATTCGAATTCTTTATACCCACTCTTCAGAGCACAGCTGTATTTCCATGCCAATCATGTAGCCAGGGCTGACTACCATTAGGCACCGTGGGCACAGAGCCTGGGGTCCATGGTGCTTTTAGGGGCCACAAAAATGTTTCCATTTAATTACTTTTAAAACCACAAGAAAACAATGAATGTAGTAATAATATGTAATAGTGAATTCAGCCTGGATTATATTCATGTTTATACTGACAAAGCCATAAAATATAATATTTAATTTTCTTTTAATGGAGGAAGGGGCCCATAAAGGCAAAAGTGCCCAGTGCCCAGGAGAATCACAATGCAGCCCTGCAGACAGCAAACCCTAGCTACCCCAGTGCTCACAGATCTCTTCCTTCTTAGCTGCTAGCACCCTCACAGAAAGTACCACCTAGGCAGGATCTTTGGGGAGCTGTAGCTGCTTCCTGTCTCTGTAGCTAAGAGACAAGGTCCTTGAGCACACAACAAGGCTTGCTGCATGGCTCAGGGCTGGTTTTCAACTGCTAAGTTACATCCTGGCTTCATCACTTACTAGCTGTGTGAGCTTGTGTGAGTTCTTAACCTCTCTGGTCACCTCAGTGTCTTCATCTATAAAATGGGGATAATGATTTCTACACATCATAGGGTTGTTATTATATAAAGACCAAAGGAGTGCAGAGTGGTGGGCATTCAATGAGTACTCAATGCATGAAAATTATTATTATTATTATTTTAGAGATGGGGTCTTGCTGTGTTGCCCAGGCTGGAGTGCGGTGGCACCATCATAGCTCACTGCAACCTCAAACATCTGGGCTCAGGCAATCCTCCTGCCTCAGCCTCCCAAGTAGCTCCGACTACAGGCATGTGCCACCACACCAAGCTAATTTTCCTATTTTTTGTAGAGACTGGGTCTCACTCTTGCTCAAGCTGGTCTTGAACTTCTGACCTCAAGCAATCCTCCCACCTCAGCCTCCCAAAGTGCTAGGATTACAGGTGTGAGCCACCATGCCTAGCCAAAAATTATTATTTTTAATCAGAATATAGTTCAACCAAATTTTCAGATTTGTAGAACATAGCCAGGACAGTGGTCCCCAAGGACTTCTCCAGATATCTGGATTTTCTTATATGATACCTCATCCCAAGTAAGGTAGTTCTACAAGATTTTATTATATATGTTTCTAGTTTAGGAAGCTATACTACAAATATTATAAACAACTGCTGGCATAGGAAAGCACTATTTCATGCAGAGAAATAATGAAGATCATGAAGCTATTTTATTACTTTTTTTACTGCTGGTAAACAGACCAGAATGCAATTTTTTGGCCAGTAAATATTTTAAAGGTTTTTTCAAGGATGTGGTACTCAGTGCATATTTAACCACTGCTTTTATGATGCAAATCTCATGGTGTTGATATCCCATTAAAAATTTGAGTATTTTCAATGACATTTTGAAGGGTCAATGTAAGCCCTGATTAGGTTATTTTCTTATACACTCTCAGCTTCAGTGAATGTTTCTGAGCTTTTGCTTGGTAAAGATATGGAAAACATTACTGTGTCTTAGAGTTAATGCTGCCTGATTTTTCCAAATGCCCGTTGCTTATGGATCTCTAAAAGGAACATAATATTTGTTTTGTAGAGGCAAAACACTTGGTCCACCTAGTGGCTGCACACAGAAAACTAGCAGGCCGACAACAGGCTGGAAATCAAGCTAGTAAATTACCTAAAAACAACTGTGTAGCACCATTCCATCCCTTTCTTCCTCCCCGTGTCTTATTGCCAGGTTAGCTTAAAAAGGGACTTCTGTGCATTCTGCTTTACTTCTCTCTCCAGTAATAAATTTGGAAGTGGGAAGATCACATGGTTGGGGACTCATGCCCTACTTTTTAAAAATAATGAGCCAGGGCCGGGTACGTGACTCACGCCTGTAATGCCAGCACTTTGGGAGACTGAGGCGGGAGAATCGCTTGAGCCCAGGAGTTCGACACCAGCCTGGGCAACACAGTGAGACTCTGCCTCTACAAAATATAAAAACATTAGCCAGGCATGGTTGCACATGCCTGTAGTCCCAGCTACTTGGGAGGCTGATCGCCTGAGCCCAGACGTTTGAGGTTGCGGTGAGCTATGATGGCATCACTGCACTCCAGCCTGGTGACAAAGTGAGGCCCCATCTCTAAAAATAAAAATAAAAAATAAAATAAAAATAAGCCAGGAATAAAAACAAAATGCCAAAATTCACCAACTCCCAATTGTTTTCAGAAGATTAGCTGGTTTGTCTTTCACCCAACATAAAAACAAAAAATATTAATAACTGTTTTCACAATGTTCTCCCCCTCTGTCTCTTTCCAGTGATGAAGAGAGCTTGTTCAACTTAATTTTGAAGAGGAACTCAGTACTGGGAACACCGCTGCACTGTTCCTGTTTTTTATTCGAATTAGCCATCTTACAGACTTGCAGCTCTCTTACTCTGGTTCCCTAGTAAATACCACTGGACTCGAATGCTCTAGCAAAAATCATGTAGCAATAACATTTGCTGGGAGACATAAATTACATTTACATACAATATTTCATGCAATCTTTGT